GCTTTTAAGCCTTCTCCATTAAAGTGTTAGGGGAAAAGTAATTTACCAGTAGGGATTTTTGATGTGGTTTTCTTGGATTCATTTGATTCTGTTTTTTAATTGGTGGATTGTTGCTAGGCCCGAAAGAATCTCCGTGAAATAAAATACAGTAAAACCTTGGTTCGTGAGCATAATTTGTTCCAGAAAGATGCTTGTAATCTATAGCACTCGTATATCAAAGCGAATTTCAAGAACCATCGGCTCCATTGTGATCATATGACATTCAGCATCACATACTACTCGTATTGCAAGACGTCACTCCCTTATCAGGTTAAAATTTATTAGAAATGTTCGCTCATCTCGTGGAACACTCACAGAACAAATTCCTCACAATCTGGGGTTTTATTGTATATGGAGAAGAAAGAGTGTAGACTGTCATTGTGGGTTATTTCTCTTTTTCAGTCTTCTAGAACAAAACTCAGTCCTACCCTGAATCCAGTCACTTATTCATTCATTCATTTATATTTTTTAAAGTAATCTCTATACCCGGGGGTGGCTAGAACTCACAACTGTAAGATGAAGAGTCACATGCTGTACCAACTAAGCCAGCCAAGCACACCCCTTCAGTCCTTCCCTGAAATTCACCAGATCAGCCGAATAATAAAGAGGCCCAATGAGACCAAAGAGTGACCTGCTAACAATTATAGTATTATATATGGTAATAAGCCATATTATTACTTTAAAAAGCCAACATATCACATTTTCCATATGCAGGCGCTCCATGCTTACTTAATGCTCACAACAGCCCATTTTACAGATGTCAAAACTAAGGCACAGAACTCATAGATGAGTCAACCATGGTCACAGGCTTCTAAGTGTTGGGAACAGGATTCAAATCCAGGCTGTCTGGTGCCCGAGTCCATGTTCTCCATGTTTAAATCTATGATACCTCACCTAAGATGACCTTTTTTTGTGACACTTAAATGTTTTACATAATGAAGGGGGATTGGTTGCTGCCCATAAATGAAAATCTGCCAAGATGACTTTAGGTTGGGCCTACAGTACAAGGAGTACTGTGTACAGCATGCAGCTCAGGCCATCCACGGGTGCTACTGACCAGCTGGCAGTTCAGAGCTGTGGATGCTTGCCTTTGGGTCACCTGTTCTGCATGGTCCCCAGGTCCTGAGGAGGCGTTGGGACTGGGGACACCATTCCCTGCTAGTGGCAGGTTTCCCTGGCTTTCAACTCCAGAGCTGGTGGCCCTGGCCTGGTGGCTGTAGGCATCTCCAAGATGTGTGCACCCTTATACCAAGTGCTCCCGGTTGCAGAGCTGGGAGCAGGCCCTTTGTGGGCGGAAACCATCTCCCTGCCGTCCCCACCCCCTCCCACCAGATGCCAGGACTTAAGGCTTTAGTGCTCTGATGTATTTCTTCCTGTCTTCCACTTCAGGAAAACTGATTTCTCATCATCCAGAAGGAACAGGTGATTAATGGCAAGCGTAAAGTGCCCGTGGTTCTTTAATAATTGCTTTTTTTTTTTTTAACATCTTTATAGCCACCTTCAGAATGTAGTCGATTTCAGGCAGTTGGGAAGGCATTTTTGGTGAGTCAAGGCTAAAAGGTCATTATATGCCAGAGTCATACCTGTGTCCTTATATCAAATCACTGTGTTTTTCCACTGCCCTGGCAAGAATGCTAAAATACATATATATTAGCTGGAGTGCTTTTACATTTTTCTACCTGATGAAATAAAGTAATATCTCTGCTAGGATTCCTAGCAAAAACAGAAGTGGAGAGGTCAGAAAATGGTTTTACTTATTCAACTCTCAGATAATGTGTCTGGGAGGCAAAAACATTTCTTCTGCTGTGGGTGAGGGTAACCATTTTGAGGAAGTATACTTAGCCAGTGTCTCTCAGTGAATGATCTGGGGATCTTGTTAAAATGCAGAAGCTGATTCTGGAGGTCTGGGTGGGGCCTGAGGGTCTGTGTCATCCCTGACAGACTCTGAGGTGGTGCAGATTTGTCAGGACCTCTCAAGGAATTAGACAGTCACTCGGAACACCTATGGGAGAGAACCGAGAGAACCTTACAGGAGAGAAACTGACAATTCATCATTGTCATATTGACAGTAACACTGACACACGCACTGGTCACAACATGTCATTTACAGCAAGGGAAGGGTGAGAAGTCAGACTGTGGAACCATTTGCCCGTCAAGGGACAAATTTGGCCTCCCCAAACCTAGACCCTCATTCAGAACGTTGCCTTGTGATCCTTCATGTTATAGCACAGAGTGTAGACTAGTGTATGGGATTAGATGTCCCAAAGTGAGTCTTCAGTAAAGGAATCTAGTTGCAGATACTCTCATACTTATCATACCACAGAATTACCTATCACAGGTAGTAGAGAGATAAACTGCTAGCTGTGTGGTGTGCCTACTATACCAGCAATCCACTAACGTGAAGCCATTGTGCTATTTTGACATTATCTCTGACTTTTTTTTTTAAAGGTTACCTGGTTGGCCACGCGCTACCTTTTCTCTTCTGGGGGCTTCTAGTTGGATCAGTCAGTTAAGTGTCCTACTCTTGACATTGGCTCATGTTATAATCTCACGGTTCATGAGTTTGAACCCCATATCAGGCTCTGTGCTGACAGTGCAGACTCTGCTTAGGATTCCCTCTCTCCCTCTCTCTCTCTGCCCTTCTCCCATTTTTATGTGCATGCACTCTTTCTCTCTCAAAATAAATAAACTTTTTTTTTTAAAAAGGTTACCTGGATGGCAAAGTGCTAAATTTTCTCGTCTGATAAGGCCTGTGCTGTGCCCAGAGCCGAGAACTTACTCTGATTCCCATAGCAGATCTATGCATGTGCTTAGTAAGTGAAAGCTAGCACCTGCACCAGTTTGTCCTTTCTAAAAAGCGCCTGATCTCTTATTTTTAAGAGCAGAAATGCCAGGTCTGGAGTGAATACCTGAGTCCCACCAAGAAGTGATCTTTAAGTGAGCCTGGCCTGTGCATGCTGAAAGGAAAAGCATCACAGTAAATGGCCAGGAGAGGGCTGCTTAATCCTGTTTTCTTAATTAAATGGCAAAAAGTCCTTTATAAGCTACATTCAGTGGGGCCAGGTTTCTCTCTTGCTCACCGGTAGCTGTGATGATGGTCTGTTTGCAGTGGAGCAGGAATGGAAATGCCGATGACTTTGTTCTTTCCTTGCATTTGAGCTGGTGTGGATGTTGGCTGGCATGGTGCCCTGTCCTTGTTAGGGCTGATTCTGTCCTTGTGACCAAGTATAACTTGTCTGTTTTCCCCTCAAACCTGCTTCCCCTCGTATTGCCTTTCAACCTGCTACCTCAGCTCTGGTCTCTGGACAACCAGCAGAAGGGGTGTAGCAGCTGATCTATAAATAATCTTTGGATACTGAGGCATATAAAGTACTCTCTCCTGAGGGTCTTTCCGGGGTGCCTGGGTGACTTAGTTGGTTTTGCATCTGACTTCAGCTCAGGCCATGATCTCACGGTCTGTGAGTTTGAGCCTCGTGTCAGGCTCTGTGCTGACAGCTCAGAACCTGGAGCCTGCTCCAGATTCTGTGTCTCCCTCTCTCTCTCTGCCCCTCCTCTGTTCACGCTCTGTCTCTCTCTCTGTCTCTCTCAAGAATGAATCAACATTAAAAAAATTTTTTTCCAAGTCATTTTAACTTTACTTTAGGGGAAACTGGGTGGCTCAGGCAGTTAGCATCCAACTTCGGCTCAGGTCATGATCTCGTGGTTCGTGGGCTCAAGCCCCGTGTCCGGCTCTGTGCTGAGGGCTTAGAGCCTGGAGCCTTCAAATTCCCTCTCTCTCTGCTCCTCCCCTGCTCACACTCTGTCTCTCAAAAATAAATATACATTTAAAAAATATACTTTAAAAAAGCCACCTTTAGGGAATACTGCATATTGTAGAAGACTATCAAGCCAACAGACATGCTCTTGACAGGAAATGTAGGAAACGCGGCTTACATTCTAGTACTGAGGACCTTGAGTATAGGAGTTCACATACTAATCTGTGCTGGCTGGCACTTGAATGTTCTCTTTTAAGACTTTGTGACCCTCTTTTTTACTCAAGGTCAAGTTAAGAGCATAGATTCTTTTGCAAACAAGGGGGACCATGGTGTCCCTTCTTCAGTAGACATTTATCGTAGGCAGACAGTGGTGTTGTTTTGAAGCTATGAAGATGAATTGGACTTGCCTGTGCCAGCCAAGCTGGCTATCTAGTAGGGACAGAGGAAGGGGAGTGCGACACACTCATGTCATCCTGGGCTGCAGAATTCCAGTATGAAGGAGGAGCTACTACATGGTCCAAATCTGCTTTATTGATATTTTCCTGTGGTTTTTGTGGGAGGTTTTTGGGATTTGGGGGAGAGGGGGGAGACTTGGTCTTGTTCAAATAGATTAGCTATGATCCAGCTTGGTCTATGTTGGTTTCACAATGTGAGTAGGTCGCCTGGATCTCTGAGCTCCAAAGGAGCACTGGAGTCAGGACCAGAAGGGAGGATGGTGCAGGTGGGTGGGAGTGAGCAGGTGCTCTGTCCAGCGGTTGAGGGGGTCCCCTAATATGGCATCGTGAAGGGGCGGAATGGGAGTAGGTGGGCCTGAGAGGGAACCTGCCTTACAACAAGCTCAGTAACATCCAGAGAGCAGAGGAAGTAGAATTATGTGATACAAATACTATCCCCGTACAAAGCAGTGTTTCCTCATTTCTGGGCTGGGGCCACTCCGAATCACAACGTTCTTTTGCCACTGACTTGCTCTGTGACCTCGAACAATGATCGCTCCCTTCCCAGTTCAGGCCTCAGCCCAGCTCACCCAGCTGTAAAAACAAGGATCTCAACATTGACCTACGATGTCGGGCTCCCATGGCGTCCAGCAAGTAAATACGATTTTATAGTTGTGGTTGTTCGAGAAGTGCACTGACTGTAGTGCTACCGTGGCTCCTCCAGGCTGCGGGGCAAGGCGCTCACGTCTCTCTTGTCCCTTCTGTGTTCCAGGAATAGAGCTGTGCCCCCCTGGAAAACGGTTCATGATCACGATGGTGGCGAGCTTCGTGGCCATGGCCGGGCAGTTCCTCATGCCCGGGCTGGCTGCCCTGTGCCGGGACTGGCAGGTCTTGCAGGCCCTCATCATCTGCCCCTTCCTGCTCATGCTGCTCTATTGGTCGTGAGTATCCTGCCCACAGGCGTCACCGCCTGGTGCATCTGCAAACGCTTTCTGAAGGGCGTGTCCCCTGGGGAGGAGACACATGAAGCAAACCACTGGGGTCCCACAGTGCGCCGGCTTCTTGCCGGTTTCAGCTTGTGCTTTTGGTGTGTGTGAGGCAGTTTTTCTCTTTTATGAAATTTCATTTTTTAAAGTTGATCTTGGGAAATGTTGAAACATACACAAAAGTAGACAGAAGAGGGGAGCCCTTCACCCGGCTCCAGGAATCTGCCCTCTTACCAGTCTGCTCGGACGCCTGCTTGCTCGGTTCTTTGGACATGATTTTTATGAATTGATTTGCAACAGGAAGATTCTTGTATTGGGAGGTGGGGAATACAGAGATGTTCAAGGAGTGATTTAGGAAAGCCCCCTTATGACCTCCAGATTCAGGATAGACAGAGAGATATGGCTCATGCACCAAATCTGGCTCGCCATCTGTTTTGGGAAATAAAGTTTTATTGGAGCACAGCCTGCCCACATGTTTACATAAGTGTCATCACCTCTGGCTGTTTTCATGCTACAGTGGTGGAGTTGGGTACACCACAGACAAAGTGGCCTATAAAGCTGAATATATATCTTCTGACCCTTTACGGAAGAAGTTTGTCCTCCCCTGCCCTGGATGAGTCCGCTAGGACTTTTAGAACCACGTGTGACTGGCTTTTGGCTGGGGTGAATGTAGGAGGGAAACAACCAAACACACAGGGCCAGGGGGTCTGACCTGAGCAACCAGATTTTTAAAAACATCGATGTTTATCAGCTGGCCGAACAGCCAAGGTTGGAAAACCCTGCTCTTGGATAGAGAGATGTTCAGGGGGAAAAAAATGAGTGTTCGGCTTTTTTTATAAATAACTCTTTTCTTTCTTTCCCAGCCCCTCCCAGCCCCTCTTCATGCCAACACTCACTTCACACACGGTGCGAGACACTGTAGTGTAGATAACACATGCAGCGCTGTGTTGTTCTTATTTAGTCACTGATGAAAACCAAATTCCTGGCAAGAAGTCAGTTGTGTCGTAGCTTTCAGGAGCAGAGAGGGCTGTTAATCGGGCTTCCTTTTCTAAGTTTTAACTTCCCAGTGCTGGGCCCTAGCCTCACCCTGCTGGTAGGTCCTGCAGCAGAGAAACGGGGGGTGGGGGGAAGGTGAGGGCACAGGTACATTCTCCCCAGAGCCCGGTTCTTGCTCCCTAGATCAGGAGAGCCTCAGCAGCAGCAGAGGCTGGCAGTGACAGATGAAAAGAGGCCACCTGCCGGGGAGCCGCTCATCAGGGGCCAAAACTGTGCCCATCTCCTCTGCTCCTCTCCCCGCACTTCCTCCAGCCTTGCCTGCCCACTGGGTTTGGACATCACACCCCCTCCCGTGGGAGCTGTGTGTGTTCTGGGATGTCCTGCTCCCTCCAGCAGGGTCTCAAGAAACAAGGAATGAAATTGTTTCCCAAAGCAGGATGGAGTAGGCAGTTCTTCCTTTTAATCCTCTACACAAGTTCTTCCTGTTCCTCCCCTTGCTGCATCTCGAGTCTGCTTTGCTTGTTTTGGAGTTCAAGGGCATTTATTTATTTAACAAATGCTTCTACCGTGTTTGCTCCATGTCGACACAAACTGCAAGCTCTGGGCAAATAGTAGATTATTCAGTCTTTGTATTTCATCGCCCCATTGTACAGATGACAAAACTGAGGTCCCCCAGCTGGCCCTTGAACCCAGGCCTCTCTTACCACATGCCGCTCTGCCTCCTGCCTTCCCTGCGCTTTTGCCTCTTGTCTCTGACCGCTGGAGACCCTCGCCCTGGAGGATCCTCTGTGAGGTCTGGCATCCTCTCAGCCATCTCCTCTCACTGTAGTGCCCAAGGGCCCCCGGGGCTGTCTGCTGGCCCCTGGGGGACTGGATGAGGTAGGCACAGCCTCCTGGGGGCTCACAGTCCTGTAAGGGCAGATGGAGTTGTCCGTGCCCCCCCACCCTATCTCAGCTTTGAGTCGCAGCAAGGTGCTGTTCCCACCTGTCCCAGTTAGGAGGACACCTGGCAGGGGAGAAATGGAACAAAAAGGTTTTCCTGGAATAGGTTCGTGGGCCTGACCCACATGGTAAAGGACTGGGGGCTTTGTTTTTCATATTTTATTTTTTATTTAAATTTAAAAGGTATATCAAGGTTTAATGGCAGGTAGGATATCCATTTATTTAAATATATTATAAAACCTAAGAAAGAAAGTCCTTTAAAACTCACAAATGTAAAAACAAAACTTTATAGTGAAAAAGAGCATCCAGGGTACTTTAATAAGTGAGACATGTGCAGTCCAACAGATGACAGACGTGCTGAGGCAGTGACGCCATGTGATTACAGCTCTGGCGCTGCCCTCGGGGTAGACCAGCTCTACCCAAATATGTTAACGTGATGCAATCATCATAATACAATAGAACCTTGGTTTGCAAGCATAATTTATTCTGCAAACATGCTTTTATCCAAAGCATTCGTAAATCAAAGCGAATTTCAAGAACCATTGACTCAGCTGTGATCATGTGACATTCGGTGTCACGTACTACTTGTATTGCAAGACATCATTTATTTGTCAAGTTAAAGTTTATTAGAAATGTTTGCTCATCTTGAGGAACACTCGCAGAACAAGTTACTCGCCATCTGAGATTTTACTGTAATTATTTTTTATTTATATTATTCTCTAAGGTGCTTGGCACAGGTCTGACCTACAAGGGCTCATAAATATTAGCTACTTTATGAATGTGATTGTATTACCTGTTCACATGCATGGAAACCAGGGTGTGGCCAGGAGCAGGCTAAAGAAATCAGTGATGAGAAACATATTCCACCTTTACCTCTAGCCTTGAAAGTCTCTGTAAGAATCATGGTCTTTTTATCGCCTGCCACCCTTCCTCCCACCTGCTGCAGTAGGAAACTCGTCACTCCTGAAGGCTCCATAGTTGGACAGGATGAAGTAGGTTGCTGGGAGAGGACAGAGCTGCAACACCAGCCAGCAAGGCCAGCTGTTGGTGACAAAATATTAAAAGCCTCTCGCTTTCCTTTTAATGAGCAAGTATTTATGATGACTGCCCAGGTGCTCTTAGTACCTCTAAGAGCAGATGGAGAAGCAGGTGTGTTAATAAGGACCATAAGCCAAACTGCGTAACACAGTGTCACCAAGACATAGGGTCTTGGCTTGGGAGCAATAAGACAAAGGGCAGAGATTGGCCAGAAGGGATTCTATGGTCCATACGGTGGGCTGAACTGACTGGGGCCCTCTAAACACACAGCCAAGGCTGGATAAGATACTGTATCAACCAAATATTTCCTCAGTGCTGAGCTCCAGTGCCAGAAAGGGGAACTCCCAGGGCCCAGAGCAAGGAGAATGTTCAAGCAGGAGTGGTCACAGACACAGTCTGCAGAGCACATGAGCCAGAAAGAGGCCCAGAGGTTTAACAACTGCATTGAGGGCTGGAGCTGCAATCCCAAGCCCTCTCTGCGTTTAGAACTGAGCTCCTTGAGTGAAGCTAGGACTCTGAACTATACTGTTCTAATAACAGACTTAGAAAGTCTTTGCCCACCACAGGGACACACCTCCAAAGCTGGCTAACACTTCAGACTGAGGGCAGAAATGATCCACCCTTAACACAGTGGAGGCTTGAAGTCTTGCACCACACGACAATGGCTTCCAAATTTTAACCGTTCTCCAAAGCTGAGAAGTTAACATAAGAACCAGTGAAGCTCGTTGGACTCTCTGGAGAATCACTGGAGAATGAAACCTCCCATGGAGAATCACTGGAGCCAGGCACTCAAGACTCATGTGGAAGAAAATTGTCATCAAGGATGAACTCACAGCCAGAATTCACAGGGTCCATGGGAATCCATTAGGAGGGCTCAGAACTATAAATGGAGAAATTTGCATCTCAGGAACTCTAGGAAATATAGCAACTTAAAGAGAAATGGATTCAAATAATGTATTAAAGTAGTCACCACCACCTTGTGCCAAATGCTGTCCACGTATTCTAGATAGGACCCAGGCATGTGAGCAAAAATCTCTCCTCATTTGCAGCATACATTACAGTGAGTTATATGGGGGTGGAAGGGAGGCCAGAAACCATAAACCCATAAACGAGCAACTAATATTCTTCAAATAACCACCGCTATGAAGACATGAAACCATCCAGTGGGTAGAGAGGAGTAGTGATCAGGATGGCATCTCTGAGGAGTGACATTCAGGCTAACACCTAACTAAAGGATCAAACAGAGGAAGTCACACAAGGTTCTGGGTGAGAAAATAGGCAAACGGGAACAGCAGGGCAAAGGCTGGCTTCCACTAGAAGAGGAAGAAGGCCATTGGGGCTGAGAACAAAGGACAAGCTCAGACACACAGTGGGGTCAGACCAGACGGGGCCTTCAGCAACATGGGTTTGTTCTAAAAGCATGAAAACGCTTCAAGGTTTAAGCCTGGGAGGAGTGTGCTCTGGTCGGTGCTGTGAGAAGGTCCCGTCTGCTGTTGGTGGCTGGGGGAAGAGTGGCCGAGGGGAGGATGGCCGCTGCACGGGCCGGGAGAGACAGGGCTACATCTGCACGTCTGCACCGGGGGCAGGTGATTTCAGGTGTGTTTGGGAGTGGCCCCAGTTAGGGGTGCTGCCGGGCGCATGAGGACAGGAGAGCAGCGGCCCAAGCTGTTTCCTGGGGTGCGGAGACAGGGCTCTCTGCGGCTTGGAGACCCCACCAGGACTGGAGCATGAAGTCCTGTCCTGAGGGTAGAGCTCAGAGAGTCCATCCCCAGAAACAAGGTGACCAGCTGCCGGGGGATGGGGGTGGGGATTCAGAATGGGACAGTTTGATCCAGAGAGCAGCAGGGTGGCGAGCTCAGAGCCATGACTGAAAGCCAGCCCATTTGGAAGTGTGGGTTTTGTATTACCCAGGTGTGGAGTGAGGCCAGCAGGTCAGGAGATGATGGCCACTGAGGAGACAGGTTGTTACTCTCGGTTCC